CACACACACACACACACACACACACACACACACACACACACACACACGCACACGCACACTGCATTGTTTACCATCAGGCCTTCCTTGTGTTTGCCGCCCAGGACATACAAACTGCCATCATTGGGGTCTGGGAGAAAACCCGGCCTACGAAAAAGAACATTCAGACAGCAGTCCAGTGATTATTTGAAATATATTTAAATTCCTTTTACCTCTTTTGGCACCAATACTTTATCCAGTACGTTTCAAATACCTTTGTTTGAGTCAAAACATTTTGTCTAAAAAAAATAAAAAATGCAGCTGTACAAGCGTGAATAAAATAATGTAAAGGAACTATCTAATCCAAGAATAAGTACACAAGACTACAAATCTTCCTACTTTTGTTACATGACAGCATTCAATACTTTGCTAATCACAAAAAAAAACACTCAGTCCTATATTTGTATGAGTACTTGCATGTATTTGTGTGTTACTCACTCTGTGAGGTAGACAGGTACTTGAATAATGGGGTCTGAATGAAATCAAAGAAAGATTTAATGAGAAATATGTTAGAATAGAATTAGAAATTCATGAAACAGTACTGACGTCTATGTGTAATGAACCTTCTCTGAGGGTCCACTTGATGTCTCCTGACTGTTTGGAGACAGCATGCAGACTACCGTCCATTGTGGAGACGAACAGGAGGGATTCTGGGAGGGTGACAGATCTGACCCCTCCAACCTGATGGGCCACCAGGAAGAAAGAGAGAAAGAGAGAGAGAGACTTTAAGCCAGGTGTCATGTCATGTATCTGAGATTTCATCATAGCTGGACTAGAGCTTGTGTGTGGACGTCTGTGGATGTGTCAGTGGGTTGACAGTCCAGCTCAGCTCTCATAATTATACCGTGTTCCTCATATAGCAGGATATCCTTATCCTTCCCCCCTCCTCCCAATACCTACACTTATACTCAATGCTGAGAACATGTGTGTGTTCACCACTCCCATATTTACCCACCAACGGGTGGCAACTGGCAACGCACAACTGAACTCTTGAGTCAAGAAGACGTGCACAGAGACGCTCAATGCATGCACGCACGCGCAAACACACACACACACACACACATACATAGAGAGAGGCAGTATTAACTTTCTTCAGGCAACTTGCACTCAACGTCCTATCATCATATCACGGCAACTTTACTCGAGCCTGAAATAGACACAGAAGCGCAGTGGGATGCCAGTTGCGGTCCGTGCTGCGCATAAATAGCAAGACCCAATCAGTATTAACAACAACAACAGGAACACCCCACGCACAGTTTAACGTGACAAACTTTATACCTGAAACAGCTTGCCGTCCCAGGACAGCAGGAGGAGAGACAGCAGCAGGCGTCCCAGAGCCCCCATGACCCCCAACACTCTTTGTTTCATGGCTCTGAACAAACGGAGCTCTATTGAACTAACAACAGAGGTCGAACTCTCTCTCCATTTCCAGCGCGGGCGTCCATCTGTCACAAAGTTAGTCCGCACCGGCCGTTTAACATCGCAAACAAGCCGCGCGCGTAGTCCTTAAACACGGCGAAAGCTACGCTTAGCAGTGCCGCTTTAAATCCATAATAACAGCAACGCAGCCGTTGGACATAATTTATTTCCGTGTTGGGACGGAACCGGTGACGTCGGGACAGAACTGTCAAGCAACGAGGAGGGTGGTGTCCAACAACGCCCCCCTTGCGGAGTGACAGGAGGCTCGGCCAATGGGAGGAGAGGTTTGGAACAGAAGGGGAGGGGCTGTAGAAAAGGCTGGAACACGTGGAAACAGACAGCAGGACAGTTGTGAACGCAACAACAGCGGCTTTTTGTGCAATAGAAAGTAGTGGAGGGCGTGATTGTTTGTCGTTCACTCTCTGTCTATACACTCCCTACAGCACTGGTGTAATGCAGCGAAGTACGTTTACTCAAGTACTGTGCAAAATTTGAGGTACAAATTTGAGGTACTTGTTCTTTGCCTGAGTATTTCCATTTTATGGAACTAGACTTTACACTTCTATATTTCTGAGTACAACCCTTTCTTCCTTGTATGGATACTCATACTCCACTACAATTTAGAGGCGAATTTTGTACTTTAATATAATTTTACACTCTGTAAGGCGTCATTCTACATATTAAGTACTTTTACTATTGATACTTGAGTACTTTTTGGTGAAAATACTACTATAGCCTCCTTTTACTTTAGGATGCACTCCAATACTTTCATACATTTGGAAGACTCACCTATAGATTGAATTTCGAATGGTAAAAATCAAAGCAGTAGAGGATACCCTGATATCTAGTATGTATCAAGCTGCAAAAATGCTGGATCCTTATACCCATAATGTAGCAGTAGCATCTTTTCATTAGACCTTCAATGCCTGGTAAACACCCACATCTTTCAAACTATATGCCAACAGTTGGTTTAACCTTTACTTAAAATTAAGAAGTCTCTTGATTTTTTGTTAGAAATTAGTATTTTTAAAGCCTACAGTTGATAACGGTCCTCCACAGCTACAGAAGACATATACAACTGTTGCGTGGTACTCCCTGGACTATTAAACAGACCTTACTTACGATTAACTATTTTTACATAGTGGTATTGCCACTTGAATATTTCTTCCACATACACAGTAAAAATAAAGTCACATATACAAAAACACTTTATTTCTCTGCCAGACATTTCCCTTCACGGAGATGTCAGTCAACAGTTCTTTCCCAATGACTTACCGAAATACTATTCAAAGTGCCTTTACATGGGGAAACCAGACTGGGATAACGCAGCTTGTAAGAAGGTCCTTTGGTTCGGCGTGGTCTACTGGTGGAGCGTGCTGTCAGGTTTGGGATAGCCAAACAACTCAAAGTCTGGTTCATACAGCTTGTACAGTTCTCTCCTCATTGTTATGGGAATCTGTGCAAACCAGTCTCTTTCCCAGCTGGCTGCAGTGCGGTTTCGAGCCCCTGAAGGGAAGCGTAGCAGCTGATCCACCTCCAGAAGCTTCAGCAGGTGCTTCGCGTCTGTTTCCAGGGTTTCTAGTCGCCCAATGAAGTCATACTTCACCTGGCATGGATGGCACAGACGGTACACCTGAAACACACAAAAAGCAGGCGTACAATTTTATAGCTGCGTCCGTTTGTGCGTCTGTTTGTAATACCTGAAACAAAGTGCGAATGGCAGAGATGATAGGTAAGGGCAAGAAATCCATGTTATACTGGTATGGTCTTTTAAAGCTAGGGTTGGCAATCTTGAGAAACTAGCAAGAGTATGCTAGATTTTAAAAAAAACAATCCAACAGAAAAACCGAGCCCTAACTCTTTTCCAATGAAGGTAGTTAGAAGCACTAGCTCCAATAGTTGCTAAACCTAGCAAGAAAGTCGCCAAGTCGGCAACACTGATATCACGTCCCTTCAGGTCAACTTCCAAAGCCACTCCCCCAAAATGATCATAATGAACGTAAACAATAATTTAATTAGTGCCAAATTGATTGGACCGGCTTATTACAATCCTGCGACGGCCACAGATACCAGATCTTTATATGATTCTTTTATTGCTGTCAGGATGTAATGAGAATTTCAACAAAAATATAAATTAACCCTGCCTTTAAAAAATGATGTAGAAGTTGAATATGAACAACAGGGGGGGGTAAGTATGCAGAGTAACCTCACGGCATCCAACCATCTGAGAAATAATGTCAAACTGTATCAAGTGGAGCCTTTCACTGCTGTGTGAGACAAGTACCTGCTGCCAGTGTTCGTTGAAGATACTCTCCCTCTCGGTCTCTGCATCCAGCAGGTATGTGATAAACTGCTGAAATGTCGGCTTGATTCCCGCTGCAAACGCCTCCGCCGCTGTCTCTGGCAAACCGCCTGACACGTTAGCATAACGACGCAGCATGACAGAGCCAAACTGCTTGTAGAAGTCCTCGTTGGGCCTTAAAAACAAACACAAATTCACCCAATTCAAGAATGATAGGACTGCAGTTGAATCAACAGTGTAGCCCATTCCTCACCCTTAAATCAAACACTTACACACCCATGTAACCCGCTCTATCTGACACACACCTTTCAAACTTGTTCCCGAAGGCCGAGATAAGACGCACAAAAGGGTCTCGTACAAAAAGAAACTTGGTGTAGTGCTGGAGCTTGAGTGCCATCAGGTGGCGGGACAGAGAACCATAATGGGGCCAAAACCTGGCAAGAGACACAAACAGCACACAACACCATGAGAGCAGATCTTTAGTTTTGTCCTGATTGTAACGCTTTTTGAGGGTTAGCTGCTTAGTCCCATGCAATACTAAAAACATTTGGCCACTAAGTGACTTGAAAACAAAGCCTGATCAGTCCTTAAGGGGACAAAAAGGTGTCTTGTATATCAGTGCAGATAGAAAAAAACATATGTTCAGATATATATCCAAACACAGACAGCTCCTGAGAGACAGAGAAAGGTCTGTCTGTGCTGCAGCATCAACCCCCCCGCCCGTCTTTTCCACTCCCCTCTTCCAAGAGTCAACTCAGTGAATAACTCCTTCAGCTCTCGTGTAGTTCCTCAAACGGTTATACTGAATAATTAAGTGTTTCCGTAGAGCTGTCTGAAAAAGGAACACCGTGGAACTTTTCATTAATTAACGCCTCTTTGAAAACAAGTGGAGACAGAATTACTAAAGAGACAAATCGTACAGTGACTTACAAACTGAGTCTGCTTAAGTTTCTTAAGTTCTGGATAGACACTCTGATTTATTGGTAGATTTTACTTTGTTGTCTTTGTGAGTGTGCTTGGCTAACCCAAACTAGCTCTTCTCCTGCCGATTTCAACACAGATCTGTCGTCCACAATGTAGCATTATCAGGGAGTGTGTGTGTGTGTGTGTGTGTCATACTTGGCAAAAGTGAGGTGGAGAGAGGGGTTGTGCACGAGGTGAGGAGGTACAGCCTCTGGGTCAGTGTAAGGTTTTCCTGAGGAGGGCGAGATCAGAGACTGAGACAGGACCACCATCACTCGCTTCCAGTTGGTGCACGCCACCTGAACGGAGAACAACGATGGAGGGAAAGAAAAGGGAAAGACGAGGCATTCGAAAAAGACAAGAGGGCACACGAACACGTGTTTGTGAATGTTGACAAACGCTAGAGAAATGAAGAACTGTGATTTTAAGATGTTTTTTTGTCTTTCTTGCTATTTTTCTCACACTTAGATCCAAACAAAGTGAACTAACCCACCACCCTTATGTTCACACACACACACACAAAAAAGACAGCTGTACCTTGGGGACGTAGCAGTAGATAATCTGGTGGGTGTCATCCACTATAAGGTGATCCAGCTCCCCGTTTGGGATCTGCTCAAACGCCCGAGTCCTTCCGGGGAATTCAACAGCGTCCTGTCCTGAACACACATCCACGATCCTCTGCTTCCTCGCCTCCTGTTCCCTATCGTCCTCAGCATTATGACTTCTCTCCTTCTCCTCCTCATCCTCCCTTGTTTCCTCCTTCCTCTGTACTTGTTTGTCCTTCCCCTCCTCCTCTGTGTGCGCCCCAGCCGCTCCCCCCGTCTCCTCAAGCACCAGTGTTGTACTTTGAGCAGTAGTGGGGATGGCGGAGGAAGTACTGGTCTGGGCTCTGCTGGTGTACGTAGAGTGCGAGGGCCCAGCAGTCGTCCGAGGGTGAGGCGACATGTGTTTGGGCTCCTGCAGCGGGTAGAGGTTGAAGCCTCCGACGTCGTCCCAGCAGACGATGATCAGCAGGATCATAAACAAAGACACCAGGATGAACGCCACTCGTAGACCACGCCATGTTCCCATGGTTATACCCGATCCAGAGCCGCGATTGGTGGGGGAACGTGGAACAGGTTATCTCAGCTCCACGGTGGCCATCTATCGCGGAAGGACACACTTCCTGCTTGCCAGCTACAACTGAAAGAAACAGGAAATGTAACTCAGACTCGTGTTCCTTTTTTACGGTGGAATTCATGGAGGCAACGACACACTGATTATAAAATACAAAAACTGGATATTATTGACAGAAGCTGTGTGATACCAGATCAATCCTTCAGTGGCTCTAACTGACAAAACGCATACTGGGGGTTCACTGACAATGGTGGAACATAACTAAGTACATCTACTCAAATACTGTATTGGTACTATGGTACTTTCTACTTCTACTACTCTGAGTTAACATTTAAGAATATCAATATTTTCAGCTCCTCTCAACCCCTCTAGGAGAGTAATGGCTGAAAGCAGCATGGCCAAATGTTTTTCTTCTGCTTTGTGGAACAGCTAAAAGATGTAGTTCCTTATAAAGTAACAAAGGAATTATACAAACACTTTAAAATAGTGTGTGAGGATAAACACTGCCAAACCTGTTCTCCTCAGAGACATGTAGCTGATCTATAAAGCAATAGTACATCATTTATGAACAATAAATTAAAAAATGATTTACAGTTAAAAGCTCTTCATAAAGAATGTGTACACAATGAACATGATGCACAATGCAACATTGTATCAGCTGCCTGGTTACCAAGGCAACACCAAGCAGCATCCCTAATTTAACTTTGGTTGAGTGGTTCGGTTAAACCAATAACAATCAAAATGGAACAAATTACACTGCACTAAACTGAAATGAAATACCATCATCATATCCTGCACATATACGCTCTCCAGGTGACTGCCTCGAACATGTCGAAACACAGTCGGGTGAATTTTACAAAACAACCATTCAGGCATCGATTCATCTGAGGCTTATAATTTGAAACAGGCGGTGCGGAACGCTAACAAGAGTACGTAAGAGCCTGTGGTGACATTTTTACAAACCAGAAACAAACAAGCATAATCAACGATAAAGGCTGGCTGATATTGAGTGAAACACAGCCCTCGTATATTATGTGAAAGGTGCTAAATGCTAAATGAATTGTAAGTATTGAGGTTTAACACCTAACACCTCTAAGTTAATTCAAATAAAGAGGCCTGTTGTAGATTTGAGGTGACATCAAATGTTGCAGCATCTTTAAACTTGATTAATGATCAGATGTTGTGTAAGAAGGTACATTTGAGAACATCAGTTTTACACGACGTTCCTACCTGTTAAGTCAAGTCTTCTATAGATAAGATGTTAGTTGACTGTTCTGTTCCTCGTGTTGAACATCACAGTGAACATCTGTACATACATTAGGTCTTTACGTAGGTTAATGAGGTAAAAGATCTCTGCAGCCTATAGAGTTAACATGGAGTGGAACAACACTGTGCTGGCACATCAAGAACTAGCTGTTCTCTGTATATCCTGAAAACTGTGAGGCAACATGTTGGATATAGAACTGCACCGTAATTATGGACATTGGTCAAAGTAACCTGCTGGAAAACTTCCCAACAAAAGTCTTTGCAATGACAGACCGGCTATCCAGAAGAGTAAAGAGAAAGCCATGATAATGGCTACATAAAATCTTTCATAACCACAAAGTACAGAGTAGATATGAAGCAGTGAAGGACCTGGACTTAGAATATTTTGAACTACGACATTTAGAAATAAGAAAATCATCTGATCATGAAGAAATTTCACCTTAAGCACAATAAAAAAAAAGTAGTTTCTTAAACCTCAGATGCAGTGACCTCAGTATCAGATGATACCCAGCTGAGCTTCAAACTGCAGCTTCTGAGGACAGTTATCGGTTTATCAAATGTGAAACAATAAAAGGTTTATAGTTATCTTAAATTTGTAAACTGGTAATGTGGCAGATGTATTGAATGCTCAATAGATGTGTTCAGAACTGTACACAGGGTGGAACTAATACACATCCATCAGTGAGATCTGTTGACTGTACTTTGAAATGCCCATCAGCTTTCTGGAGCTTGAGGTGATGTCTTAAAATAGCTTGTTTTGTACGAACAACAGTCCAAAGCTTGAAGATAACTCATTGAAAGTGATTTAAAACATCCTCACATTTGAGAGGCTGGAACCAGAGTACGTGTTTCTTTTTTGGTTCATAAATGACTTCAACTTATCATCAAAATGGTTGTTCATGTCACTCAAGCTGAACAGGAAGAGAGCACAGACGATGCCCTCTTCAATGAAGAACCAAACAGTGAGACAGTCAGGTATCATTGTGTTTGAATGTTTATTTAAAGTTATTCCCACTGCGCACCCCCTCCCTGTGTGAAAGCCTAATCTGAAAGGAGGAGGATACAGGCCACTATAGTGCCACATCAGCACATTTATAACAAAGGCTGCTCGTTTAGCCACAACACCATCACCCCACACTGGTATGGCCCTCTGATAACACACTTGCATGGTGAGGCTAGTTCATAACACAACCCCTGTAAAAAGAAGGTCCGATGAGAGACGGGGCTGAGGTTAGAGAGCAAGTTATTCCAATCGATGAATAGAAAAAAAAAAGGAGACAGTATTACTAAATACCAAGTTCCACAGGAAAAAAAAATAAAAAAAAAGATGGTGTGAGACAAAGAGAAAATATTAAATACAAAGTATCCTCTCTTGTCCAGGGATGTGGCTGTTGATCCGCAAGGCGTGCTTTGATGATGTCACTAAATATGAATGTTAAGGTTCTTGAACCCCAAAATTCACAGCGTGGTCGTCGTCCTCCAATCAATGACGCAGTTCCTCTCTCCTCCTTCCACACAACAACGGATGGACTGAAAGAGAGGGAGAGGGAGAGGGAGAGAATACAGATTAAGAATTAAACTGTTTGTTATCTACATAAACGGGGACAGAGGGAAACATACGCCCACAGTGGTCATCAGTCTTAAAGGTTGAACTCATTAGCAGACGTCCCTAATTTCCCCCCCGATGTTGATTCATTTTGTCCACGTTTTTGTTTGAGTACACAAAACAAGAACTTTCAGTCATCAAGTTCAGCAGATGAGATCCGTTATAAAAGGCAGCAGGTTTCCATTGAATAAATCTAATAAAGATACTGACGTCAAACATTTTTCCTCTAATTCTTGAAGCCCAGTGAAACAGAAGTTAGAGCGTCTCTAGCTTCTGTACTGCCATGTAGTCCACAGTGAAACAGAAAGAAAGTTTACAGAAGGATTTAAAGAAATCCTTTGCATTTGAACGGACCGATAAAAGGTGTTTAGGCGTATAGCGTGAAACGGAGCTACAGAAGATGTGGGCTTCACAGAGATGAAAGCCAAACTTTGCAGATTCTTCAACCGGCTCTGTGTCACAGCAGCGCAGGACGTACATGCAGACAAACGGCGCATCATCCGGTGGATGTTCATCTGCATGAACTGCGGCACCGCCAGCACCGCATTAAAACGGAGCCGGTTGAAAATCGGCAAAGTTTCCCTCGAACTAATTACACCTCAGTCAGAGTGTTTCGGAAATGAAAAAAAAAAAAAAAAAAAGCTTCTGCCCGCTAATATCCAAACACACCTTTTCCACCATATTGATCTGTTAGCTCCTACAATACACAAATGGTTCTATATGACAGGTGTGGCTAGCTGGTCGCCCAAAGTCTTATTTGATTGGATGAATTTTTGTAAATGCAGGATGAGTCAACAGACATTTGAAACGGTTGAAAAAATGATCTGACACAGATTCTTTTGACATACATTTGTCATATAACAGATGACAAATGAACAAACAACACAGGAATACAGGATTCAAACTGGGTAAATGTATTTGTCATGTCACTGGGTCGTTAATTTTACCTGCGTAGGGGACTACAGATCTCCAAGGGGAATGATTTCTTCGTTGATAAAAAACTCAATGGTCTCCTCCTCCCAGTCTTCCACATTGCTGTCCAGCTCATCAGAGTCCACTCCTGGAGGACAGAGAACAAATGTCAGTGATTTCCTTACAGAAATAGACTCTGGGGGGGGGGGGGACAACACGTGAAAAAGGTCCCACCTCCCCTGAGCTCGAGGCGGCTGCTCTTCTGATCCAGATGGGTCTGCTGTGCCGTCTCCCTGTAGCTACGGTAATCATCCATCATGGTCCTCCGCTTGTCCACCAGCTCCTACTCACAAACACATAAAACATTCAGTATCATAAAACAGAACAATGCTCTGGGTCGTAACCATGCAGCGTTTATTGATAAATGATTCCTTTGTCTCTAGTATGGAAGCTACAATTATGCAACAAAGAGATTTTGAGGAGCCTTTAAATCTCCTCGTGAGACAAAGATGGCTGAAACAGAACTTGATGTGCTTGAGCACACTTAAATTCTTCCACAATATCAACTAGTTAAAGAGGGATAATACAGATAGTTGTGACTCTACTAACTCTAGATATTAGATAAAAAGGTTAAGATATAGAAGTGACCAGCCTGGATCAGTTATAGAAATAAACATGTCAAACCTTAGAAGCCTTGGACTGGCTCAGACGATCCTTCTGCTCAAAGATCTTTGAGTATTTCTTGAGATCCTTCTTGATTATCTGCAAGAGGAAGATGGATATTTACTGTAGAAAGATAGTAAATTACATAAAATACAATGACTTAGGCGTTGCACCAATACACAGGACGTTGTAGATGTGAGCCTCAGATCAGAGTGAGAATCAGGAGCCGCAGTGCAGCTCTCATACGAGGTGTCAGAAAAGTTATTTAGTATGTCATCACTGGCTCCACACACACATAGATACAGTATGTGTATATATAAAGATGAAATTGTACCTTGATCTGTTCTATGCCGAGCAGGGTAGGAGGTCTGGGTCTCCAGAGCAGCTGACAGAAGCGATCCTTGCTGTTCTTCTGGAGAAGACGGCCCTGGAACGTCCACAGCCAGTACGCATTGTCCACCTTTAATGAGGAAAAGGATGCAAGTTCAGTATGTTGTTATGATGTCCGCGCCCCCCCCCCATCAACAGTGAATTGGTCTGGCAGGAATGAAAAAGACAAGTATTTGTGGCGTCACTTAGCAGCACGCACCTTGTGGCTCCACCAGGAGACGGAGGTGACGAGGTAGCGGCCGGTCGGGTCCCACTCCACATCAGAGGCCATGTAGTGCTCCGCTATGTTCATCATGGTGCAGTCGGACGTGTCCACAAAGGCGAGAGCTCCATTCATACTGAACGTAGACAGGAGAAGAGAAGATTATACACTCGCACACGACGACGTCATCAAAACTGACAAATATATATAAAATACTGTGAGCCTCAGATCAGAGTTAGAATCAGAGGAGCTTAGCTCTCATACGAGGTGTCAGAAAAGTTATTTAGTTTTGTCATCAGCGGCTTCTTGTTGCTGTCACTAACACACACACACACACACACACACACACACACACACACACACATACACACACACATACACACACACACACACACATATATACACACACACACACACACACACACACACACACACACACACACACAACTGACCTCCTGAGTCCAGCCAGCACCAAAAACTGTCCCTGGGGGCTCCAGAAGATGCTGTTGGCCTGCTGCTTGTCAAACATCTCTGAAGAAAAAAAGGATCAAGTGTCACAGTCAGTGGCGGTTTACTGTGCGTCCTAGACGGTGCAACCCAGAGTCAGAAAGACAGTTAGCACGCAGGTCTGATCTACTCACTCGTGAGCTCGATCTTGCCGTTGTTTTTGACATGATAGAAGGAGACGTTGATTCTGGGAGACTCTCCGTGGAGTACAGCGAACTTGCTGCCGTTGGGTTCCCATGCAAACGCTATGATGCTTTCTGCAAAGACAGAAACAAAACGAACAATGCATCAGGAAACAATTTTTTAAAAAGAATACGTTGACTGTTACTTTTATGTTCTTACCCTTCATCTCCACCACATCGACAGGAACCTGCTTCTCTCTCATGCGAAAGATTTCAAAATTGGTGACGACGCCCTGAAAAAGGTTGAAAAATAAGATTAGCATGTGATTTTTATTTGGTTTACAGTGAGGTCTCAGCAGTTTCGCCTCTTTCTCTTTACCGGTGTTCCTTTCGGAGTCCTGTCCACTTTCACACACAGGTAGTCTCCGTTTCTCTGCCAGTGCAGTTTGCAGTCGACAACATTGAAGAGGTTGCGGACGCGGATCTCCTGACGGGTAGGTATCTGCATCAGAGTCACTCTGGCTGGGATATCCTTGTCCTCGGGTACCCAGAATGCTATGATGTTGTCACCAGGAGACCATGAGAAGTCCCTGAAGATGAACAAAATGCACAGATTAGTGTCAGTATTTCCCCCAATTTAAAGCAATTACCAGAAACGCATCATAAAGGCATCATCTCTTACTTGATCCCGGAAATCTTGAGACTCTTCTTGTCGAGCAAGCCCATTGACTAAGAGGAGGAGAAAAATTACAGAAGAATTATAGCTGCACACTTCACAAATACAACTATATGTTGTCTTTGTTTGTACTTACTGGAGCCTCGTAGATGCTCAGCGTGTCTGTGGTCATCCTGGCAAAGAACTTTCCATCGTGGCTCCACCTGGGAACCAATATGCTCCGTTATATTACATTCAAATCACTGCAGGAGCGACAGCCGTGAAAGCAACATTGAAGTCATTTAGATTTCGACGACGAGAGGGAGAAACTGACTTGAATATGGGCCAGTGTGCAGAGCTCTCGCAGTGAAAGCCTCTCTTCTTGTGTCCGGTCAGAATGTCCCAGATGATGATGGCCTGTGGGTCCTCCTTTGTGTCCATCAGGGGACTGAAGGTCACCACATACCTGGAAGGCAGCACAACCACACATCAGATACGGCACTATTCATTGAACATTATCCATCGGTCATTATTAATAAACTACGGGCATGAGTTTAATAGTTTTGAACCAGGGCTTCCAGGATTTGGATCAAGTAGCTCGTCATGTTTTCTTTTCTATAGCTGTTATTTCAATGTGTCAAGATATGCATTTCATCAGTTTGGTAAAGTAAAGTATTTGGCGCAGTATCGGCAGATCAATCAGATTTGGGTCCATGTTGTATGCCTGATTTATTGAAAAGGTGCATCAGCTCACATCATTAACGCTTGAAGCCTAATCCTACAAAAGAGTCAATTAGTAGTGCTTAACAGCAGCGTTCATTACCTCTCACACGGTGAGAAGTCGATGAGGGACACGCCCTGATGGCTGAACCTCTGGATCTGCTTGAACTTCTCGCCGCCCCACAATGCAATGCCACGTTGGTGGAAGGTGGCCAGGTAGGTGCCTTTAGGAGACCAGCGCACGTACGTCTCAGTCCAGCGCTGCATCAAGATACAAAAAAATGTCATCAGTCTGCAAGCCAACCAGTACTGTTGATTTACATTATAACCTCTATTAACGCAGCAGTTCAAAGCGAGACCAACTACTTACTGCTCTCTCCTCAGATACGATTGGCTCCTTAGCATCGTTGTCGAAAATGGCGGTCCTCTCCCCAGCTTCGTAGATCACACTGTACTGGTCACGACAGTCTGTGTCCTCGATCCAATGGCGCATATTTCCCTGAACAGACAGACATTTTGGCATATTAATTTGTTGATATCGAGTTGCGTATTTTAAAGGATTACTCCGGAGCGAATCCTCCCATTTCTGCTAAATTTAAGAAATACAAAAAGCCCACATAATAACCTACTTATGATTAGTAAAAGGAAGTATTTGTTGAAAATAAAATACTCACAAAATCTTTAAACAGCTGCTTCTCAGGAGTTTCCCACTCATCACTGATGTTCATGTACCTGGGGAAATAAGCAAACAGAATTACTCTACTTGTCTCACACACACATTTGCTGTCACATTTGCTGCATCTCTTATCAGACACTGAGCACTTACTTGTCAAAGTCAGTGAAGAGATTGACTCTAAATGTATGTTGTTTGTCGAGTTTGTATCCATCTGCGTTCTTTACCGCCTCGAGGGCCTGGGAGGGACCACCATACTCCAAGAAGATATACCTGCATGAGATATGGGTTTTATTTTACATCTTAATTTCACACATTAAAGCAAGAACACTTCCATAACAGTGTATAGAGCAGATCACATACCCTTTGGTCAAGCCGTCAGCCTCTGGATAGAACTCAGTGGTGATCTTGCCAAACTTGGAGAAAATCTTGTGTATGACGTTCTTGAGTTTCTCCAAGCGCTCTGGGCCCACCTGAGGGACGTTGTCCACCACCACCACAGAGTCTATGCCGTCAGCCTCCTGGGGCTTATCCTTCAGGATGTCCTCCAGGAACTCTGAAGAGAAAGAGGGGTTGGGAAAATTGGAGCGATAGTCACTCATCTGATCAGTCTGTGTTAAACTTTGCTCACAAATACAACTTAAAGCCCCAATAGCGTTCAATCCAAACCGCGAGAGACTACGGTCTTAATTTTCTTAGATTATTTGAATGATTATCAGCGCTTTTAATATATAGAAGGGAAGAGACAAGAAGATACATGCAACAAAAAGGTTCTCAGCATCTTTTGTAAAGTGCACCCGTCTTAAACTAATGCATCTAATGTTTTAGAGAGGTGTTAATCCAACTGTATTGTTATATTGGGGGCTGTGAATTGTGTCACTTTAATTAGAGAGGTGTTTCTAATGTTTAGCCTACGTTAATGGATATCAATGGTATATGGCTGTTGTATACGACTTCATTGATTTAAACTTTGTGAACGAATACACTAAGGAATCACTCGATTTGCTGATGTGTCATTTTATCTGCAGACATGAGGGGCATTGTGCACCCTGCGTTAGCATCAACGTTTATCTGATGTGAAAGTTAGCAGCTGCTTCATGCGATCCACAGACTGGAAGTTCGCAAAATGACAGACAAGGCCACAGTGAAAGGTCTGGGTGAGGCTTCAACGGCCGTGAAATGAAACAGAGTGGGTTAAGGAAAATGGCGATGTACCGTTATATGTTTTATAACCTGGTAATAACATCTCAAGGTTTAAACATTATAGTCCAGTAGTCGGAGTGACAAGCCAACTCTCACTGTAGCATTTGTAGTACATATATCACGGCTGGTGGCTAACTGTTAGCAACAGGCCAGAAAGCAGCGGCGTTTCCTGCTCGCACTCACCCTCATCTTCGATGTCATCTTCGAAGTCCTCCGGGTCGCTGAACGAGGGCTCCTCCTCGTCATACTCGGGGTCGTCCACCATATCCACCGTATCTTGCATTTATCAGGTACTACGAGACGGATTTCTCTCCACTACGGAGCAAAATCCCAAAAATTAAGAGGCTGACGGTCCTCGACCGGTGCGGCACCATGTGCGATTTTGTGAAAATGGACGACGTGACGGAAACGTAACACCGGAACTGGTTCGACAGGGAAGGACGCGCTGCAAGGGAGGGGGGGGGTAGAGTTGTAAACGCTCACATTTACACTGAAAGAAGAGGGAAGCCACGCGCGATGGACGTTTAGCTAAACTATAAGCTATGTATGCTTCAGTGTGACTTTTAGCTGCAAAGTTGTATCCACACACGTTAGCACCATGGATAGAGAGTGTGTGTCGCTGCTGCCCAGTGTGTGTGAGGTGCTGGCGGCCCCAGGGAGGTCTCTGCCCGATGACACCAGCCTGGAGAAACTGTTGGACTGGTTCTCAGGGCTCACCGAGGCTGGTTAGTACCGAACTTGGTGGGAAAGTTTCGTTATCTTGTCCTTAGTCCTGCCTGCTTCTCTTTCTGGTTTCCTTCCTCTCAAGGTGGAGCTTTCAGGGGCTTTACTTTTGCTATATGTTACACCCAGGTAACTGCAAAGATATAAGGCTGAGTCACTGTCTGGCATTTCATGTGTAGTCATTTATTTGATTACTTGTCTGGAAAATGTAACCACTAAAGCACAATATAATCCAAAATAGGGCTGCAAGTAACAATTGTTTTGATCTGCAGATTATTATATTATTTTGTCTAAAAAATGTCATAAAATAGGTTCACAGCCAAGTTCTAATACTGGGACAATAACAGGAGATAAACGGGTATACAAAATAATAATAAACTCATTTATTTAACACAACATAATGAATGAATGTCAGTCAGTAGGGAGTGGGTGAGTGAAATATGCCACATGGATGGTGTGCTGTTATTATTTATCTTGATATAATACTTACATGGTGCATATTCCTAAATAAATGCATCTATTAGAGTGAAGCTGCTGTTTGAAGTCTGCCAAAGGCAAAGTGATACATAGAAAATGCACAAAGAGTGCGGAGAACAGGGGGGATCTACCTTGAGTTATTCCAACCGAGGATGGATAGATGGATGTTAGATCTGTGCCACTGTCTCATGTCCACCTTTTCTCCTCATGAAGGCGGATCTCTGCTGGAGGCCTGTCCATGCCTGCTTGAATTCACATCCACTGTGGTTCACAACACCGCTTCAGACCCCGGTGTCCTCTCCTTCACCCTCAGACTCACCGGCTTAATGGCTGCCGCTGAGGACGGCTTCAAAAAGCTTCAGGTGGAGTTAATGACACCTTGTACTTTTTTTACTGTTAAAACAAATTCTGACTTTGGTGATGTTCCCGCCTGCAGGAACGCTCGGTTCTGAACCAGGTCTTCCACCTACAGCACTGGCAAGAAGCTGGACTCTGGGAGGATCCCTGTCTACGGATCGGCTGGATCCAGGGCTTACGGAGCATGCTGCAGCACCCAAAGGCTCTCGGTTTCTTTGTGCAATCAGGTGACTTTTCATGTAGGAAGTGATACCATCTCTCCTAATATGTTGTATATTATAAAAGAGGGAGGGACGCAATATTTAATTCATATAATCTATTTTCCTCACAGATTTCATTGACCCGCTCCTTCAACTCCAGACAGACACGAGTCTGTTCGTTGCCTCAGCTGCCAATCAAATGCTCGCCCACATCCTGCTCTTCTTTCAGCCGGTCTCGTGTCTGGGATGTAACGGCGTAGATAAGAAAGAAGAAGAAGACGACGACGGGAGGACGCATACCAGCGGAGAGTACACTGCTGCTGTCACGGCGATCTCAGAGTACCTCAAGGTGTCGTTGGTTCCCAAAAAATACACAAAGCTCCGTCAGAGTCTGCAGATCCTCAAACTGCTGGCCCTGCTCCTGGCCCAGGCCGGGCCTCCTCTCTGGGACAAGCTGCTCCACACAGTCGCGGACTCTCTGGAGGAACTGGTGACGGCAGGCTGCAGTCAGCTCACGTTGCCTCTGATGGACGTCATTCTGGCTGCATGCAGGTAGACCGTCTCTCTCATATGAACACAAACAGTGCAACACGGGAAAAGTAGTAGTAGTAGTACTAGTGTAGAGCTGAATTGATCAAGTGAAACCCTTTTTTGTGTATGAGCGGATTCAGTGATAAACGGCGTCCCTGTTTGTCTGCAGCAGCTCCGGCGCTGATGAACGTGTGCCAGACCAACGCGTCGGCCGTCTTCTGTCGGCCATGTTGAACGTTAACAAACCCGCTGACCTCATTCATGCTGCAGCCGCTTTTCTTCGCCGAGGTCACCAGTAAGCATCAGTTCACAGCACGACTTCACGCTCGCATAGAGAATGTGTCTTCAGTACAACCTCAGCCTTCTGATACCAGGTGGTTCAAGCAGTAGAAAACATGCATTCATTTACCCGTGGGTGCTGTTTTCTTCTTCTGTGTTTCTGAGCAGTGATATTGTCCACACAACCCGGGCCGTGAGAATACTTCTGCTACCCCTCCACATTGTAACTGGTCAAACTCTACTGGGCACAAACACCACTGGTAAAACACACAGATACACACAGAAATAAAGAATTATAAAGCATGTTTAGCACCTTTTATACATTGATGTACTTTTGTTCCTGCAGCAGACGAGCATCAGTCTTCAGTGGTAGAGCAGCTGAAGTGTAAAACCTCCTGCATCTCCATCATCTGTGTCTGTCTGACAAACACACCACGGATCACACTCTCGGTGAGGCTGCAAAGACAACCAGAGGAGCTGGACTGTATTCTTTATGTGCAGCAGACTAACATCACTGCCTCTCTCTCTCTCTCTCTCTCTCTCTCTCTTTGTCATCCCAGCCTTCCGGCGTCCTCCCCTGTCCTCCAGATTTAATCGTCACTGCAGTTCTGTCACTGTTAAGGATCTGCAGCGGCGTCTCCTCCTCCTCCTCGTCCACCAGTTGCAGTGAGGTTTGCAGGAATGTAATCGGCAGTGGCAAAGTTCAGAAATGTGCCCTCGAGGCTCTGACGGCTCTCAACAGCAGCCCAGGTAACACTGTGTGTTTATGTGGGACGATCCTGACAGAAATAATGTTCTCTTTTCTTTTGCTAACCACTTTTACTTGAGCCTGAAGGAAAACTTTATTGGAAAGACAGCCACAGTGGTAACAGAATTTAGCTGAACATGGCAATATAACATATGACATTAAATTAAAACTACAATTTAATCAAACGCCTCAAATAATTATTGGAAACATGTCGCACAAAAATAAAGAAGATCTTAAGTTATTTGCTCGGTACTAAGAGCCCCAATTTGTCTAAAAGTAATTATATCTAATAAAACAAAATAGAAGAAAGTCAGATAAAATATCATTATGCACTGACACAAAAATAAATGCTGCAGTGTATGAACATTATGTGTTGTGTGTGTGTGTGAAAAAGTGTTTTTCAGGTTGAAACATCTAGCATGTGTCCTCCATCTTGTGTGTTTCAGGAGCGAAGGAGAAGATCAGTGAAGTGTTCACGGTTCTGATGCAATATCTGGACAATCCTGATTCGGATCCCACTGTAAGTTGTGTTTCTGTTTTTATTTCAACTTTCAACCTCTGCTGGGGAGCAGTGACTTAGAAGAAGACACCATCACTCACAGATTCTCTTAATCTTAACCTGTTAAAAGGTATTTAAAAAATAAAATCTTGTAGCTTTAAGAGCAGGACGTAATATTTCAGTTAAATAACCTTTATTGTAATTTTAAACATCTACTCTACACAATGTAAGCAGATGTTTCTTTTCCATACTGATGTGTATATGCTGTCATGTATAGAAGCAATGTATTTGAGAGTGGAACCGTGGTATCGGGGTTCAAAATAAGCACTATCCACCGGCCAGATGCTGCTAAAATATGCATGTTGCTGGTAGACAAACAAACAATGTTAATCTATTGAGTGTCTGGTACAATTTTTAACATTCACAAGCCATTTGGCCAGTGGACAAAGGTGAGTAGTATGACATAATAATCTCAATTAAAGGTCCACTTACTAGCCTTTTCTGCAGCTTTCAGTCACATCATCAGTTTGCTTAGTTGTCACTGTGACAGTAGAGTTGACTATAGATACTGTATAATGAGAAATTCCAAACATTCACTGGTTCCAGCATCTAAAATGTATGAATTGGTTGTTTTGCCGGTTTTTATATCGTTGAAAAAAATGTATATACCTTTTGTTTATTTTAGTTTTGGTCGGACAAAACGAGTACGTTGGGTTCTCAGAAACTGGGATGGTTAGACAAGAACCATTCATCAAGAAATGAATCTGTTGGTTAATCGATGATTCAAATAATTGTTAGTTGTGGCCTTATATAAGTAATACACACATGTGTACTATATGTATGTGTCACCTCAGATATTAACGTCTCAGTAAAGGACGGGTAGACGGGTGCGTATGCTTTCACTTTTTGACTGTTTGTGTGGTTACATGAGCGTCTCACCCACATTGACTCGTCCATATTTAAAGTCACAATGAGTCTATTTATGAGGGTTATACACATAAGCTGTAAGTCATTGTTGTTTTCTATCATTGAAGTGTCTGTCTGTGTTTCTAAGGTACTCCACAAGTCCTTCCAGGCCATAGTAAAATGGACGAGTGTGTCCACAGAGCTGTCCTTTGCAACAGACCAGCTCAGACGAGGTAAAGTTCACCAGCAGCCTATAAACACTTGTGGCTATGACACACAGTAATGTGTCCCTGAAGGTAAATGTATGTGTATGTTAGACCTCGTGGAGATAGTGAAGAAGCGCGTGTGTGACATGCGCTGGGAGGTGAGAGACTCGACGGTGGAGTTTCTGGGACACCTGGCAGGTGTGCGTGTCTCCGTGTCAACAGCCGAGGAGGTGTGCGATGCGTCCCATGTGCTGCTGGGCGGCTGCTGTACCACTCCTCTCCTGAAGGAGGCACTCCAGGATACGGAGAGCTACGTGAGAGCCAGCGCCATCTCTGCACTGGCAAAGTCACTGACACATGGCTGGCAGCAGGGGACAGCACTCAGTGAGGAGGAGGTAGGCAGACATTGTTTTACTTTCAATCTGAAAAAACAGACTAGACTTGCTGTGGTGTAAGACAGTACATCAGATGCCAGTTATCATGGATTTTTTGGATAATTGAACATAAGCTGCTGGGATCAACATTTCGGACCACGTTACAGTATTTAATATGTTTTGGTTGAGTCCAACTTTCCACACATACTGGGTTGTCATACGTTGAATTCGTCATGGTATTTCTAATCTGCGTCCACACTTCAGGAAACTTGGTGGAGAGGTAGAGACGGTCCAAATTATGGCTTCATTTCACAAAGAAAGATGAAAAAGTTCTGTAAATTTCTGTAAAATTATTGTAATTTATTTTAACCCGTTCAAATGTTATTAGACAGACATAGTACTATGTGTTCAGTCTCGGATGTTAAAACAGCCGCGTTGATGCTGAAAACCTGGGTAGATTTAAATTGATCAGGAATCAACAAGGGAATCGGTCCAATAAGCATAATTGATAATGGCATTGGTATCAATAAAATCCTATCAATTACCACCCCTACTTGAGCCTCTGGCCACCTGTTTTATCTTGCATTTGGTCGTTTTTTCAGACTTTGCATTAACCTGTGTACATCCCGATTTCAGAAAAAATTAATAAGCAATCAATTGGTGGCAGAATATTTTCTAACCTTCTCCAATCAGAGAGGGAAGAGGGAAGACGTCGCTCTTACAGTTAAATTGTATAATTGTTTGACCATATATTTGTGTATTTGTATTTTTTTATTTATCAATTTTGTAACGTTATTATTTTCTCTTTCTGTCTTCTTTATTATTTTGTATATTTACAGTCAAAATAAACCTACTAACCCGTGTTGTTGTTCAGGACCTCTAAAGATAAAGAGAGAAATACAAACTGGAGGAACAATGTGTTTAGAAGTGAACTTGACTTTTATTGATGAACCTCTGTGTCCTTCCAGACTGAAATAGTGAGCCGGCTGCTTGAGATCCTCTCCCAGGACACAGAGGGATTCCCCAGGAGGGCTGTCGTACAATACTTCATCTCCTGGTTCTCTTCGCGCTCCTCGTCTGCATCGCCATCCGCCTCCTCAGCCTCACTCCTGAAGCAGTGCGTGCGCTCCGTCCTCTCACAGGGCAGCGCCGATCTGGACTGGGAGGTGAAAGTTCACACGCTGGAGCTGGCCGAGCTGGTGCTGGACGAAGCATTTTCAGGCCACCTGGGTTACAGGAAGGGTTCAGACAAACCTCGTGCCCTGCAGCACTCGTATGGTGTCGTCTCTGAACAGACCTACACTCTTCACACTCGCACAGAGGGTGCGGAGTCAGCATTGGCCAGCGTGGTCAAGCTGGGAGTCATCTCGGCGCTGTTGAGCGGTCTGGTTGACTGCGACAGACCTGTGGGTCTGAGAGCCTGTCGAGTGCTGATGACACTCAGAGACGCAGTCTGCCCAGATGCTACTGCTGCCGTGGCAGCGGTATCCTGTGAACTGCCTGGCTCAGGCTGGGGGCAGGAGATCAGAAAGACACTGGGGATGAAGAGGAGTGACATCGCAGCAGAGAGAGGTATCGGAGGAGCAGACGAGGGAGGTGACAGTGGGAGTGTGAGTGTGTGTGAGGCGTTGAGGTCTCTGGGTCTGGACGAGAGGCTGGACGTCCTTACTCAAAGCAGCGACCACATCCACAACTCCCCCCTCTCTCTGCTGAAGGACATACTGACCACGAGTGCCGCTCACACTCATCCAGACACACAGCCGGGGCAAGAGGTCATAGTGGACTGCTACTGACACACACACACACACACACACACTCGGCCTTATGGTGGTTTGTTATCAGTGATGAACAACGCAGTCTCAACTCAGGGTACTTTTGTGATATTTTAGCTACTTAAGTAAAAGATGAGTTTTCCTGATTTATACATGTGTACTGTTGCTACAGAGACCTGAGATCAATTTCAATGTTTCACTTTGTGATTTTTGACTTCACAAAAATTGATGCGATGAACATTCTCCTTTTGTCTGCTGTCAATTTTTGAACATTCAATATTGTAAATTCATTAAATACCAAGCAGGAAGTTGTTGATCTTTGTTGTTTTTTTCATGCTGTAATGCGTCTCTATTGCTTTTTAAGATGCATTGATTGAATGCAGTTGCACTCTTCTTTACCTCCAGCAGAGGTCAGTCACAACTCATCAATAAGAGTTCTGCACAGGCCTAAAACTGAGACCTTACAACCCGACCGGTCTCATGCTGCCAAGATACAGAGCCAAATCTAAATGTTTGCTTTATTTCATCCATTACTCTCCATTAGGGCACCAGGCTGATTTCCTTCGGCCTCACTCGCCAACACTTTCTCAGATCAGCACGTCCTCAGTGCTGAAATGTAATTAAGTACATTTACACAAGTGTTACTGGAGTATTTGTATTTTATGCTAATTTATACGGCTACTGAACATTTTAGAGATATTGTACTTTTTACTTTACTACATTTATTTGATAACTTTAGTTGATTGGCAGATTCAGATAATTAAATTTTTTTACAGTTTTTTGGGGGGCATTTTGCCTTCGGTGTGTATAGAGGAGATGCTATGCAGCAACGGGCCGTGGGTCGGATTCAAACCAGCCTTGGCCTGTGTTCTACCAGGTGAGCTACCGGGGCGCCACCAGATTCAGATTGTTAATACAAAATATACTAGACAAAGAAATGATGATGTATTATAATAGGTTAAGCAACCCGGCAGTATATATACTTGTTAAAATTAGCCCCCAAGTTGCAACATTGAAGTGATGTATTTATGTATTTATGCATCAATAATTATAATCCAGTATACATTATTTTGAAATCTGCCATTTTGCATAATACTTTTACTTTTGGTATTTTACATATATATTGACATATGACTTTTACTTCAAAGAAAGAATTTCTACACTCTGGTATTGCTATTTCTTACAAATCAAAAATGTCAGTTGTACATTAATTAACAGTTTAATATTTGCTCCTGTCCACAAATCCATTGTTGTACCACATGCAGTTTAATAACCCTAACCCTTTGTGACATTAATGTCATTTCTTTGGTCCAAAAGCCCACTGACTGATAAGCAGCCACTACTGCCTCTAAATTTGTGTGGACATATTTTGAATTATTCACCAGTTCTTGAATCAGACTTTTTCCCATTCAGTTGAACTCAAGACACAATCCATTACTCTTATGGAGAACTGTTTATCTAATAATGCAATTTAAATTCCAGGATTCCAGTCATCATAACTGCTGTAGTTGGTGAGAAACATTGTTTCATACATAGGCCTCATCATGTCAGCTGATAACTCGTGTGAATCAGCTGGAAGCACTTGGTTAACCTTTACAAAGACTTGTTATAATCATAAACACTTCAGGGCATCACATTCTATTTGAGGTTATTTTCAGTCCTTCCCCACCTCTCTTGTCTCTGATTTCCCTCATGGAAATAATCCGTTAAAGCCCCAGAGTTTAAAGTGAGTAGGTAGGCATCGGAGATGGAGATGGAGAGGGCGGTCACCACCTCCACGTGTTCACCCACTATGTAACTCAGTCACATGGAGGAACAGGGGGACACACGCGCCGAGAAAACTCTCCTCATTAACTAATGAGCAGGATGTTAGCGACTGCCCACACACACACACGCGCACTGATAATCTCATCCTGTAAAAGAGTGTCATCGCCCTGCAGGGCTCTAATCGCACAGCTGTATTCAGTCTCTTCATTCATGAAGTGAAACGGTTTTCCGTGGCCGACTGATCAGGATGGAGGCGGTGGCTCTCTTCTCTTTCGCAGCATCAGAAGCAGACGAGATCAGTTTTCAGAAAGGGGACATTATCAAGGTAAGTGTGTGTGTGTGTGTGTGTGTGTGTGTGTGTGTGTGTAAATGTTTAGGTTGACACATTTAGAGGTTTTTGAAAGTTAACAAAAAGATTGCATGTCTACATGGAAAGAATAATTGTGCATGTGTGTTATAGGTGACAGAAATGGAGGATGATTCTTGCTGGGTCACAGCAGAGATCCAGGGGAAGCGTGGCTACGTGCCAGAGAACTACATTTCCCTCCTTCCTTATCCGTAAAAAAAAGAAAATGAGTCCACATATTTTATACAGCAAATCAATTTAGGATAGAAAACAGACATTATTTCCTGCAAATATAATATTATACATGTGGATTGCTTTAACTACCATCAGTGGTTCCCAAACTTTAAGTCCACTTGTAAATTCCAGCTTGGAGTGTTACCATTGGAGGCCTGAAGAGGTGAAAGTATTCAGTAAATCACAGGCCAAAAATCTGAGAAAAGTCTGAAAATATATGCTTGTGACCCATCATTTATTCTGAGACCTTATTTAGGGTCCTGACCCCCATGTTGGGAACCACTGAGATACATAACTGAGCTGATTTTTCATCCAAAATATACTTATGCCAGCTTTCAACGTGACTATACTGTGATATATCGGCTCAAGAGGAGACATGCTTGTGTGTGTTTGTAGGTGGTTTGCAGGACGGGTGTCGAGACTTGAGGCTGAGAAGCGTCTTCAGTGGCAGGACCCTGGAGTGTTCCTGGTGAGGGAGAGCGAATCAGCTCCTGGAGACTTTTCTGTCTCCGTTAGGTCAGTGAACGCACCGCACACAAACACAAGAGACAGTCTGACGAATCTCATGCCGCAACGTTCCCCTGTTGTCTGTTCCCACATTGGGATGTTAAAATGTTTGGGTGCTGCAGTTATATTTGCATGTGTTGAATCTGCTGCACTGCTGTGATTTCCCTTTCAACCGCCATTGTGTGTCGTTAATGACCAGAGGGCTGGGCATCTGTCCCTGGGTCTGATCTCAAAAGGACAGTGAAACGACAGAATATACTGTACAACCAGAAGTGTTGCATGAAACATGCAGGCAGCAGCATCTTCTTGTCATTTGTGCAGTTGGATGCTTGTCACATTGAGTACATTAGCAAGTTACAACATCAAAGTGTGTTTGAGTGTGTGTCAGGGCTGGTGGAGGGGAGAGTCAGACTATTTAAAAATGTTGTAGGAAAACTAAAAATAGAACAGCTGCACAGACAGTGTGTGTGTGTGTGTGTGTGTGTGTGTGTGTGTGTGTGTGTGTGTGTGTGTG